GCTGCAGGGTCAGGGCCTGAGCGCTACATCCCAGCTTATTAAAGCATCTGTGCTTTATTATCCTATTAAGGATTTTGATGCAGCTTTTTAAAAACCGTATTGCCAGAGTGACGAAGGACATCTCTCTGAGATAAACCTGCTGCACGCAGGCATGCTGCAGTAGTGTATTTTTGCAGATGTTCTCTTTGCAGGGACATGATACCCAGTTCTGCAATGAGGCTCAGTAACTGCTTTCCTTTCAACCTCACTTCATGAAACTGTGAGGCAGCGGGAGCTTTTCTTCCCCTGCCCTCTAACTCGTCCTCTAAGATGATTGTGGAGAATATTCAGGAGAACTCAAATCTAATGATTAGTGAGATACTCATATAATTAAGAAAGACTGGGCAGTGCATTAATATATAGCAGAACATACTGTTTCGAGAATTGCATGGAAAAGCTCTGGTTTTGAGCAGAGTCTGCATCTTGCTACTGGATATTCTTGGGAGTCAGTTCTGGTTCTGTACAGTTAGTACAAAACCAGTAGATCATCAAAACCTCTGTCACCATCTCCAATATACTTCCTTATTAAAATTTAAATACATGTCACATCAGAACAGTTCAAGATCTTTTCAGATGACAATTCCCTAAAATGTTTCTCCGAGTGTGGGCCTTTAGTTAAACCTACTGACAGATGAGTTGTTCTGCTGTAATTTGTCCACAAAAGCTATTAGAAATACTATGATTCCTCATCTGCAGAGCAGACAGTAAAAACTGGAAAGTCAGTTCGGAGAGTTCACAGCACTGAATGCTCTATGTGATGCCTTTTGTGTAGTAATGCAAAGCTTTTCCAGGTCAAGCCTAAAGGAGGTCGGTGCTGATGCAGTGCAATACTAGGCAGAGGCTGGTTTCTATTTCAAAATAGAAATATAAACACAGCAGCACCACTTCCTATCAGGGCCAGTTAACTCGTGTCTGCACTGGATGAGTCACAGACAACTGATATGTGCAGGAGTGTTGTCACATTTTGGATGAATTTATTATAAGTACAACACTCATCATTTATGGCCAAACTGGTATTGGAAAGACCTGCACAGTTTAAGGGGAGCCTCAGTGAAGAACATGCTTGGTAAGAGGATTTGCTACCAGGTACAATACATTGTACTGAATATTAGAAAAACTTTCAGAAATTAATACTGATTTTCTTAATTCACTCTTATGGAAATGTATATTGAAGAGCTTTTTCAATCTTCAAAATCCTATTCCCAGTGCTGGAGAAGGAATGCAGATGTTTGATGATCCCATAAACAAGTCAGGTGTAAATGTGAAAGGCTTGGAAGAAATACACATCAAAACTGAAGCCTACCAAATCTTGAAAACAGGTGCAGCAAAAAGAACTACTGTAGCTGCTAACATGAATGCATGTTCCAGTTGATCCTACTCTGTGTTTTCAGTTACTATCCATGTGAAAGAAGCCAGAGCAGATGGACAAGAGCTTTCTAGAACTGAGAAGATAAACTTGGATGATCCTGCAGGAGGTGAATACACTTCAGTTTTGGGTGGTTGATAAAAGAGCTTGGGAAAGTGGAAATACCAAGTAGTCTGTTCTGACTGGTGAAAGAGTTATTACTGCTCTTGTGGAAGGAGACACAGAGACTTAACAGAATCCTTCAAGACTGTCTTGGAGAACAACAAAGAACATCAATAATTGCCACAGTTTCTCACACATCTATAAATCCTGAGGAAACATTGAGTACACTGGCATATGCTCACAGAGCAAAGAACATAATGAAGCCTGAAGTTAACCAGCAGCTGCCAAAAGGAGCTATTATTTATGAAGATAACTGAAGAGTCTCAGCATCTAAAAGGAGACCTCGCTGCTGCACAAGAGTAAAAGGGAATCTGTATTTTCATTGAAAAATCATGAAGCCCTTAAAGAAAAGCTGACAGTTCAGAATATATTGACATAATCAGTGCCATGGAAGAAGTGAAAACAGTTACTAAACCATTCACAGTTAATAAAAACAAACCTTAACAATGCAAACAGGTCTGCAAGTCAAGGAGAAAGAACTGAAAGAAGCACAGATAAATCTGCAAGAAACCAAGGTTCTTCTAGCTAAGAAAGAATATGGGAATTCAGTTTTGGAAAACACCAAAGAAAAACTTCATGGCACAGCTAGCCATTTATTGTTATTACAAAAGATGTATCTATATAAAAGTGGATCATAAGAAGGCAGTTGATCAACACAATGCTCTTGTGCAAATACATCTGCAGGAGAAGTGAAGGGTCTGTTCAATAAAATATAAGTTTCAGTTAGAACAGTCTGAAGAAGCAGCTGGTGTTGACAACTTACGCATATTTTATAGGTGGTCTCTTATCGCAGAATCACAGAATCCTAAGGGTTGGAAGGGACCTCAAAAGATCATCTAGTCCAACCCTCCTGCAAGAGCAGGGTAACCTAGAGTACATCACACAGGAACTTGTCCAGGCGGGCCTTGAATATCTCCAACGTAGGAGACTCCACAACCCCCCTGAGCAACCTGTTCCAGTGATCTGTCACTCTCACAGTAAAGAAATTTTTCCTGATGTTCACATGGAACCTCCTATGCTCCAGTTTACACCCATTGCCCCTTGTCCTGTCACTGGACATCACTGAAAAAAACCTAGCTCCATCATCCTGACACTCACCCTTTACATATCTGTAAACATTGATGAGGTCACCCCTCAGTCTCCTCCAAGCTAGAGTCCCAGATCCCTCAGCCTCCCCTCATAAGGGAGATGTTCCATTCCCTTAATCATCTTTGTAGCTCTGCGCTGGACTCTTTCAAGCAATTCCCTGTCCTTCTTGAACTGTGGGGCCCAGAACTGGACACAATATTCCAGATGCGGCCTCACCAAGGCAGAGTAGAGGGGGAGGAGAACCTCTCTTGACCTACTAACCACACCCTTTTTAATGCACCCTAGGATGCCATTGGCCTTCTTGGCCACAAGGGCACATTGCTGGCTCATGGTCATCCTCCTATCCACCAGGACCCCCAGGTCCCTCTCCACTACTGTCCAGCAGGTCAGCCCCCAACCTGTACTGGTACATGGGGTTGTTCTTCCCCAGATGCAAGACTCTACACTTGCCCTTGTTGAATTGCATCAAGTTCCTCTCCGCCCAACACTCCAGCCTGCCCAGGTCTCGCTGAATGGCAACACAGCCCTCTGGTGTGTCAGCCACTCCTCCCAGTTTAGTATCATCAGCAAACTTGCTGAGGGTACATTCAGTTCCCTCATCCAGGTCGTTGATGAAAATACTCAACAGCCAGCACCGACCCCTGAGGGACTCCACTAGTCACAGACCTCCAGCTAGATTCTGCCCCATCGACCACAACTCTCTGCCTTCTTCCTTCCAACCAGTTCTTGATCCACCTCACTACCTGATCATCAAGCCCACACTTCCTTAGCTTATCTATGAGGATGCTGTGGGAGACAGTATCAAATGCCTTACTGAAATCAAGAAAAAACACATCTACCAGTTGTTCAGCAGCTAATGTATTTGCATTAGTTGTATCAGCATCTTTCACCTCTGATAAAAAAATGTTGACCACTGCTTTCTTATATGTCTGAAAAAAACATGACTCTGCCATTTGCTAGTAAAGCTGTTGAGGTTGACTGAGGAGCATATATGTGGATTAGGAAGAGCATTAAATATATATTAGCTATATGGTGGAAATTGTCCTGGAACTGAATTGTCAGTTTCAGAATAACACAAAGAAATTTTCTGCTGTGGCTGATGAGATGGAGGGTCATAAAAAGAAATTAATGTCTTCTTAGGAGATCCATGTCTCACACTGAAAAAATACAGGAAGAGACAACCAGTGGTTTTTAGTCAGCTGAAAAATATGGGAGAATTTAAGAGAAGTGGAAATGACAAAGTTTGTAATACAAAGAACACAAATGTATTAGTGTCCTTGCTGTGAAGCCAGCTGGATCTGTCAGCACAGAAGGTACAGAAGAAATTAGCTGGTGTACTGTCAAAAACTAGAAGTTTGAAGACCACCATCACTGCTGGGCAAGAAAATGTTTACCTGGAAACCATGGACCTAGTCAGCAGTAAAACTTCTGCTTCAAAACAAGTTTATTGCAACTCTGGATAATTTATTTCAAGAGCTCAAGGACATAAATAGTGAAAACAAAAAGGTGCTGGTGGAATCCATTGTCTGTTCTCAGCAACTTCTTAGCAATCTGACAAATGTGTCTCAGGGATACTGGTAAAGGGAGAGAATCTGAAACTGCTCAGTCATTTTTATGGATCAGTAGCAGTCCTTCAGCAATGAGAAACAGCAGCTTCAGTGTTTACAATAGAAAACAGAAGGTTTATGATTGAGATCAGTACTTTGTACTGGATATTTTTTTCTGCATTAAGCCGCAGTAGATATGGTTTGGAACTACCACATTTTATTAATAGATCCTACAATAGATTTTGTTATATGCATATCAAGAATACAAACAGTCTCTTGTGTTCAAAGATCCCTGACATACTGCTGTCATTAAATCAAAGTAATTAATGATTTTAAAAGCACTAAAAGTCACTTATGAGATCTAAAAACTTATGGTCTATACTGACCTTAAAAAAAGAAAGAGCATGTCATGTTGCTGCCAGCCACAGTCAGGGTCTCCACATCTGTGCTCTCATTTAGAGACCTGAATGACTGCTAAAAAAAGGAATCTACTTATCAATTTCCAGTATGTGCTCACTACCTAAAAGCCAGTCAGTAAGAACTTATTCAAGGAATGGAACTGTCCTGTGGCTATTGGAGGCTGGGAGCTAGACAGCAAGCAATTCTCTGTAATGGGGAAATGCAATAGATTTATGTATTGTATACAACCTCTCTCAAGAACAATAGTGAATTGTGGCTTGCAGCACTTACAAAGTGCGTGACATAAAAACTATCCTTAAATACAGACTTGTCAGACTCTTACATACATATATATATATATATATAAAGCTTATGCTGCTACAAATACACTGCCTTAGTATAAGTCTGACTTCAGAGACTGGCATCGGTGTAATTTCTTTATCACAGCAACATATGGCAGTTTTCCCTGCTGCCAAAACATGGCCATGTTTCAGCCTCAGGGTACAGCTGGGCTGAACTTAAAACTGATACTGTTTTCAAACATACATAGAGAATTTTATGTTACTCCTTCTGACACCATAAAGGAAAAGTAAATTCAGAATTCCTGTCACCAGAACCAGTATGAACACTATACTGAATTGTGGTTCCAGCCACGCTAGGAAGTGGTTTTTCCTTCTAGTTTTTGGATAACATCTAAAATGATAACCATCCTATATCAGGATCATGTATCACTCTCAGCTATGCACACTGAAAACTTCTTCAGTTTAGACCTCAGTACGGATTTGCAAGATTCTGAAAGTTATGGTGACTTATGGTGAGTTCCCCACATAACCACAAGTTTTAGTGACTGTGTGCAATCAGTGATTCTGTAAACCTTCTGTTCTCAGAGACTCTTTACAACTCATCCGTACTTAATCTGTCATTTCCTCTTACAGTTTTTTTTCCCTGATTTGCAAAGCTGAATGTAAACCTGCCGTACTGATGCATGTTATCTCAATGTTCTGAAAATTAGCCAGATAAATGCAGCCAAATCCTAGTTACATTTGAAAATACACCAAGCAGCACTATTTTGATTAAAAGCATAAAAATATCAAACACTAAGTTCTGAGCAGTTTGCTCAGCTGAGCATGTTCCAGATTACATGGCAAAACCACATGCATCTAAAGCAAACAAACAGAATAAAGGTCCAACATGAAAAAAAGGAAGAAGAAATAATACCTGCAACCCCATTCTCTAAGCTTGCAAATGGAGCTAGAAGAAAATCTGTAAGTGCCTCAAGTTTTCTGCTTATTGGTGGAGCTGACAAACACCAACTGCATGACAGCCCTGCTTAAAAGAAGCTCAGAGGGCAACAGGAAATTAAAACAGGTAAAGGAGTAACTATTCCCTTCTCAGTAGTAGATACCTAAATAGTAGTGTTTGCTGTAACATTGGAGTTGTCTAGGTTACTGCTTTGGCCTGGTTCTTTCATTTGGAACAGGTTTAGTCAGATGGTGTGACATTCCCTACAGGAGGAAGGAAGCTTTCTGATGGGTAGCAAAGTGTGTAAAGTCCTGTTTTGAAACTTTTAATGCTTTCTCCGCTGCATGTGTTGTTCTGAATACAGCTCTGGATGCAGTCCTTAACAGTTACAGAAAGGAAAAAAGAAAGTGGAGGTTAGAAAAGAAACTAACAAACAGTTCTCTAAGCAACCTATATAGTACTGTTTGCAGCTAAACTGGTGGCCAATGAAAGTTAACAATTTTTTATTCCTTCATCTCCCTTTTCTAGACCCCCACTATTTCCAAAGAGCAGTTAAACATGGCTCAGCCTGAGACTGCTTTAAACAAAATCATTCTCCACTTCTGCACTGTTGAAAGCAAAATAGTCTGGCACGTTAGATGTGACATACAGCTTTTATTTCTGTGAAGTAGGAGGTGTATTTCTAACATCAAGCAAGCATATTTCACTGTCAGGACTCTGAAAATGTAGTTGCTCCATTTAGCATGTGGCTGCTGCAAGAGGGGCTGGAGGCTGTGATGTGTGGGAAGCTCCATGACCAGATGAAAAGGGGTTATGGTATGCCTGGTGAAGGAAGTGTGGTGAACCACATGGAAATTGGTCAGGAAGGGGTAGAGAGACCATGCACTCCTGCAGTGCTTTTTCCACTGTGGTGAATAAGCTTGTATATATAATGCTTTACTGAGGTTGGTGCAAGCCATGGCACCATCATGCTGCTAACAAAAGCGCAGGCCTCAGTGTAGAGCACTTTGCATGCCTTTGTTTTCAAAATCAGTGTTCATAAGGAACCACAGCCTCTTCAGGTTATTCTTCCTTCAGCTTTTTCTTAAGTTCAGGTCCCTCTTACACAGAAATTAGCATGGAGATAGTGAAGATCTTAAAGAATGACAAATTTTGCTGCACTTTTAATTCTGGAACAATTAGACAACCAATAATTTCCCTGATAAGAATAAGAGGGAGGTGTTAGAAACTGAAGGAGAGTCCATATAAATAACTTACAGCTTAGTAGATGTAGTAGCTTAGTCTGCCTGCAGAACCAACGGACTTTCTATCATCTCTTCCACAATCAAAGCTGGCAAGCTGACCATACTGTTCTGCCTTCAAAAGCCTGAATGGTGAGTAACATGAAGTTTTGTTAGAGCCACTTGCTGCTAGTCCCCTCTCATGAGGAAAGAAGCAGTAGCTACGCACCAGGCCTTACTGCAGGCAAGCTCTGGAGCCTGAAACAGCATCCAGAAGATGAATATCTAATTCAGCAGAAATTTTGCCACAGCCTAGAATGTTCATTAGGAACAAAATAATTATGCACACCAGCAATTTGATCATTGCGGTGTTTAAAATAAATGATTTTTAATTCTTCAATCATAAAGCCCTGCAAGTCAGAACAATATATGAAGATGAGCAGAATAAAAAGAGCTAGCAAGTACACATTAGAAACACAGCATGTGGCAGAAATATGAACGTGTAGCACTTCGTTCTCAGTCTTCCTCAGCCTAGGACTATTCACTCTCCAGGCACCACCACCTTGAGAATAGTTGATTCCATAACTGCTCAGGGAGTTCCAATCTTTCATCACACAAAAGCACTTGCAGAAATCAGTGACTGTAGGCTACTGCACCCTGCTCGTACAGTGGGAATAGTTATATATGTACATATTTGGAGCTGGACTTCTGTAATTCAAGGATTTTTACCAGGTACACTAGTCCAGAGCACAATATATCTTTTTTTCATCATTACAAAAAATAAAACACAAATGCACAACAACAAACCAAACCTTGAATGGAATATTTGATGGATTCACGTGATTGACAGTTAATATTTATCTGGAGTTCAGATTAAGTCTATTGAGCTCATTTTGGACAAAGACACCTGTATGCATGGAATAAATATCTTTTTTAGGATTCAGGACTAGATATGCCCTCTAAGACCATACCTAAAAGCCCTAAACTGGGCTTATTTCAGAGGGATCAGAGAATATGGAAATCCCGGTAGGCTGGTGCATAAAAGATGAATGACAACAGCATGATGGAGAACAGTCACCTAGATATAAGAAAGAGGAATCTGGCATTTCTGATGCATGGTGCATACTAGAGGAAGGCAGTTTTAGTCTCCCAAATTAGGATATAAGAGATTGTTCAGTCTGTTTAATGTAGACGCTTCATACAGTCAGTAAGAGGAAGATCCTTAGCACATCAGTTAGAAGTCCTCATCTCTTCAGTAACAGATTAGGAGATACAATATCCCTACCTTAGATAGCAAAGTCTTGAAAACCCTCAGCCACTTTCTGGATTATGATTGTACTTGAGGATGACATATGTGCTATGCTGCTTACCCCTTAAACAAGGGGTATCTGAAAAAAAATTGAATTAAATATTTTGCAGTAGTTAAATGGTGGCTTTCAGGGTCACAATTCTGGATTTACCTACATTCCCCCTATGTCCTATTTAGGCCCCTAAATCCTTTTTTATAGATGGCTCTTGGTCTTTCACAGCTGCATCAGTATTTGTCACCATGTAAAAAGTGTACAAACCTACCTTCATACCTCTAGGGTTCTGTAAAACTGAGCACACAGAAATTGCAAGGACTGTACTAACAGAGCAACCTAAAAATCTAAGAAGTAGAAAGGCAATATGGTTTTTGAGTAACTCAAAGTAGAAAAGTTAGCTTGTACTCTCGTGCTTTTGCTTCTTAAAGTTCATGCCTTTGTGTTACTAAAAAAGAATTGAAAATGTGACCTGGCTAGGATGCAGACAAGTCTGAGTCCTCATTTAAATTTAAATCCTTTGCTGACATAGATGTCTTGATTGGGATTGCAAAAAAAGAACCCCACCCCAATTATAATCACTTAGCATAGCTGTTGCAAGAAGATTGTAATTATACCTGAGGCAAGAAAGCTACTTTATCAGCACACTTCATTTTGCTGAGTACTGATAAATGGCAGGGATAGTATCAGAGCATACAGCTATGCGCTTATATCTTCAGCAGTTTTTAGGCTAACCTGGTCAAACTTGAACGGAAACAGAGGAGTGCTTACAAAGGTTACTAACATCATCTGAATGTGGCTGCAGTAACTATCAGCTGTGAGACAGTATGTAACACTATGGACAAAAAGGGGCAATAAAAATTTATACATATTGATGTAGACTTCATGTGCTAGCTGACCTGTGGGTCAAGGAATGATCATTGACCTATTTTATTTGCTGGTATATAGAACCGATTTATAATCTGCTTTTTATGTTTCAGATAGAAAACTTTGATTAAAAAAACAAGTCAATGGTTTTCTGCACAGGCAGTGAGTTGAGCTGCATTACCTTGCAGGCAGAGGAGCCCTTCTTGCAAGAGGTTTGAGGGGGAGCTACTAGCAGAAGGATTCTCCTTTAGAGACAATGCACTATTAGATTGCAGCCTTAAATTGCTCCTGTTAAGCACACAAAAAACACATCAATTTCAGGATGATGGATTCCACTCTGGGAACCAGGCACATTGTGTGGATTTTTTTGCTCAGAAAGTCCTATCTGACTTTCTATATGATAGAAACGGTGCAAGAGACACTAAAAGGCAGACTGCATCTTACTTTCAAGAGATGTACCTCTGATCTATGAAAAGGTCTAAATCCTACTTTAGGTTAGTAGGAGTGGTAACCTACTTCCATCCCAGATACAGTAACATACCTTTTCTCTTTTTAATCTGAAGTCAAAGAAGTCATTGCTCAAATCCTTCACCAGAATGACAAGCCTGGAGTGGAAGTTGAACAATCTGGTCTGAAGCCAGGAGGGTTAGGAGGTGTCTGCAGGGGAGCTCCATACATCTGAGGCAAGAAACAGCAGGGAGCGAGACAGATTATGGAAGTTATTAAATGAAGCATTTGGTTTATGACAGCAGGGGCTATAGATGACAACAGATTCTCCTGTCCATAAAAGCAACAAAAGTATATGACACTGTGGGTGTGTGTGTATGTGTGTGCATGTGCCTGAATGTTGTCTGGTGGGGACCCTGAAATTCTGAACATGGAAACTATGTCCTGTTCCCAGCTGTGTTCAGAAAAAAAGCGGGGTTATGCATATTGCTGGAAAGGAACAAGACTCACATGTGCAAGATTCCTTCAGAAAAGTCATCATGGAAATGACTGCAAAATCAGAAATGCTGGCCAGAACTCTAGCATTAAAACAAATATTGTTGGTGTTCAACTCTCAGTATACAATAGCAATAAAGAAAACATAAATGTGAACCTCTCTGGCAAACACAAGTAATTCATTAATAAAATTCTAAGTTGTAAGAAGTATTAACATTTAAACCTTTCGGAGTTTAACTATTACTAGGAAACAAGAACTTGCATTGTTTTTCATATTTTTCATAATAGCTTTTACTCATACACTAGCTTACTATAGTTTGGTCTTTCACTCTATTTTCAATTCTTACACTGTGTTACCAAAAAAAAAAAAAAAAAAGACATTATTAATTTATGCTTCAAAAAGACAAAACATCTGGAAAAAAAAGTCATTTTAGCAAAAAGGTGCAACTACTGTTTCAAAAATTGCAGTGTTACTTTCCACTCCATTTTCTAACCTGTGTTAGGAAATGATGGAAGAGCCCAAAATACATGTGAAGCAACAGAAAAAAAACCTAGGCAATGGTCATCATCATCTATTCAGTAAAAAGAGAAAAATACATCTAGCTTTCTTACTGGTATCCTCAACAGTCTGAACCATAAAGTTCATTTTGTGAGAATATCCATTCAGAGTATGCTGCAGTCTGCTAGTGGTGGTAACTGATGCTAACGTTTCAGCACTGGAAGAGAGAGAAAGAACAGATTCTGAAACTGACATTCTTCTGTTTCCTGTCAGAACAGGCTGTAGCTCTGCTTACCTGCCCTGTGCCCAGGGATGGAGTATGGTACATCCACAGGAGTGCAAGAAACAGAAGAAAACACCACATCATCGTAGCAATTAACCATTACAAGATCACCCACATTTCCCAAACAGATTAAGGTATTAAAGAACAAGTAACTTTTCATGCTCCCTCTGATGTCTGAAAAAAAGGTGCAGGAGCAGCTTGCAGAAATCTTAAAATCTCAGTTCTTGGTGGGGTGAGAGTTGAATTTCCCCATGCTGCAAGGAGAGATGCCCTGCAGAGAGCTTTTCTATAGTCTTGCAAGAGATTTTACACAAGGGTGAAGCTGGCCTATGTTACAAACTATTGGAAGAGTCTGGCAGTACTTCTGGCAAGGGGAGCTGGGCTGCTGTAATTCAAAGGCCATCAGTACATATTTCCTCCGGAGTAACTCAGTATGTATGGAGTTATTTCAAGTCTCCATCATCCAGAGGCTGAGATTCCTGCTACTTACAGGTAGAGCAGAGAACCTCATCTCAAGACAGCTGATAGATGTTGAGGCCTGAGACCACAAAGTGCTCAGAGGGATTTTTGTCAGTAACTTACTGGAAACAGATTCTAGCAGTTTTGTGCAAGTGACATTTATCATCTGTTATAATTCAACATTACAGCCTTATGTGGAGAATTCCTTAATCCATATTAAAAAAAAAAAAAAACCAAACAAAAAAACGAAACAAAAACCCAAACAAAACTCAACCATGAGACATCCTGAAAAACTGTTTATCAACCAAAGAAATCCTGACTATTTCAGTGTTGAATTTCTAACCAAAAAGTATGTTAATCTCTACAGAGTCCTAAACTCATTCTTGAGAACGCTCCTGAAGACATCTTACATAGAGAGGAACTCTGCCTTTGAGTCTCAGTCTCAGTCTGTGTTGTAATGCTGGAGCTTTGGAGCTTATTTATGTCCTTATTATACAATCTAAAAATGAAATTTCAGTACCTAGAGGTAGTACTTTAAATATTTTGGGACCTCTTTAATGGTCTATTTTAGTGGCCCCCAGAGGAACCTGACACTGACATATTTAGTCACTCTATCTCCATATATAATTAGTAAACGTGATTGTTCAAAATTCATCTGTCCCCCACATGCTGCCCCCAGATTTTTGATGCTGTGGAAAGAAGAGACACACAAAAGGGCCCTCTAACTTCAGGATTGATTTCTAGCTGAACTTTAATACTGGTAGTCACATGTTGGTATCATTGAAACCTTTTCTTGTTTCTCTAATGCATTTTCTACCAACACAATTTGTATTTGTGATTTGTGATACATATAAATGAAAATGTAAGAGTGTAATTAATTTTCTGTATTACTGTACATAAAGTACACTATTTAGGAATAATGCAAAATTAACTAAAATAATACAGCATTATTCGTCTTAACTATATCTTCCTCTGTGAAATAATGTAACCCTGATCTTCTTTACATACATTTAATGGCTACTATGCTGTACATTAAGTGTATACCAAATCCTTTGTAGTGGACATCACTCCTGTTACAACAGGCATTTTTCCTGCAATGTTCTGCAATAATCCATAGCGGTTTATTACTAAATCAGATAAAACATAATTTTTTGCAGTAAATTAAGCAAGTAGAGAGTAAGCCTATTTTCCCCAGTAAGAAATATCACTATATGCTATCTAAAACAGTGCTTCTTATAATGGCTTCCACAAGACATTTCAGAGTAAGCTGTGGGACAAACAAAACCCATGTAGTAGGTAACAGTAGATGGTTATGAAAATCTTTCCTTAAGACTTTCCTTCCTGACCCTCACTGGATCAAATCCCAACCCTGAGAATTTTGGATCCATTTCAAATGTAGATTTTTTTTCTAGAGCCTTGGATTCTTTCATATTATTTTATATTTCTATTTATCCTGTTCTGTATAAATGTTACTGAAGTCAACGGGACTTTTTATGTTTTAACATCAGCCCCTAAACAGTTACTATTTAAAATATGATCAAAAAGGAATGCAATCACAAATTCAAGAAAAATTTGGAGCTAGAACAGCAAGACTTGATTATTGTAATCCGGGTGACTGCATATCTTAGAAAAGTTAGATGGTGGTTTGTCATTTGTTTCTTGGACTAAATGCTACATCAATATGATGTATTTCTCAAATCATGCTCTGTAGTTTAACTTTTGGTAATGCCATGTTACATATTCTGCTTTACTTCAAGGCTTTTACTTAAAAGCTGTCAGTTGTAACCCTATGGTAACAATATGTAAATGGAATCAATAAAGCTGGTTCTGTAACTACTTATAGAAGCAGGGAAATTCAATCCCATGATACATCAAGTCACAGATAACAAAATTAAGAAAGAAAATTCTGTATACAGAATGCATCTGCCTATATAAATATTTATGCATGATCATAAATTAAAAGCATACAGAGAAAATACAAATATCCTTTGGGGAGAGAAAAATATTACATGAGAGTAGAACAGCATCCTACCAGCACATATAGATTATATATTTCTATGTGTTGTATTTAATGAAAAAAACAGATAATGACTATTCCAGCAGATAGCTGGTGAATGGATCCAGAATACTGGCTATCTTCTGTACCATCAGATTGCTACTGCAGAGTCAGTGCAGTAAAATCATGGCTACTACTACTTCATACAGTCAGCTGTCCCTCAGTTGTCACTGTGTTCCCATGGCCATTCTTTGCAGTACAGCCAATGGCATGACAACCAAACATTTTTAGTTCTCTTGGGTTTTATAGCCTATGCTTACAAAAACAAAAAAAAATATCTTTTTTTGCAAAAAACTTTCAATCTCCCTTAGATCGTAAGACTGTAACAGAATTTCCTATAATTCACCAGATGCAAGTATTCATACTAAAAAAAGCTTTTTTCTTAAGGTTTCTTAAAGTTCCCACCAGATTTTCCTAAAAGCTGGACACATCTGAAAAAATCTATAATTACATTCACTGGTGACTCTTTTGACTTACTAAAGTTTCAATTAGAACTGAAACTATTCTTAATAACAAACATTATTCGCATACATTACCGATAATAACATATTCTGCCATTTTTCTTTTTACGGATAGACCATGACAGAGAAAATGCTAAGAACTTCCTGGCCTGTTATTTATAATTTCCATGATCTGAGAGGTCAACGACAGAGCTGGGAACAGACCCTTTTCTGCCTAGACCACATTGTTGCAAAGCCCTTTAGTATCTGATATGCCACATACTAGAACAGTTGTTGGCTTTCCACAAAAAGAACATGTGAGTAACTTTCACTGAATATAATTTAGCATATAGAGTAATTTTGGTTTTTAGCAAAAAACTAAGAGGTGTTTGTCTCAACAATGTATTATTCTGGTTTATCTTTTTTTTTTAATGTGCTTATAGCTGAAGGGAGTTTCACATCTTTGGTTTTCACTTGTTACTTCCACAGTAGACCTTTATATGTGTAACATAAACTTAAGCCAGAAAAAGATAGATACAGAGTAAAGCAAACACAATGTAAAGAAACATGTTGACCTAGTTTAAAAAAAAAAATCAGGGGAAGGACAGGATGTCCACAAACATTTTTCTCGGGCCCGAAGGGAAGGTGTTAATCTTGTGTGACTCTGGTGCATCAGCGAAGGCAGCCTGACATGAGCTACCCCTCCATTTCACCGAGTTTCTTGACTACTGGTTCACCTCCTTCTCACTGCAGCCAGTACAGCCATTTCTGTGACTGATGGAGTGAAATGACCTGGGTGCAAAGTGCAACCTCTTACAAACCAACCACCCACCCAACCAACCTGGAGGTAATACCTGTTCAAGGTATTCACACTCCTCCTACCGGATGCCTTTTGTTTCTCCTCCCATGTTTCTGGGGGCTTTTTGTGGGACCAGTCAAACCATCAGTAGCTGATACGGCTTAGAAAAGTTCCAGGACTCCTTTATTAAATCAGATCAGGTATCTGATACCGTTTGCTCTGAAGAGTTCCTACACCCTTGCTCTGGCAACAGAGATGAACAGAAGCCAGGGTTACAGGAAAGAATGGCAGTGTCAGTGCTCTCAAATAGCACTGCCAGTCAGAAAAGAGCATGAGGATCTGACCCATATGAGTAAAAATGAAGTTGAAATGTACACATAATTGCTATCATTAGTTAAGTCCAATACCAGGCTGCCTCATTCTCAAATATGCTGGCTCCTACTGTGCATTTCCAAGTCAAAGTAACCTGCTAATTAAGATACAACAATCAGATAGGAAAATTCTGAAAGATGACATCAGGTAATCCAAGCCACAGTTAATCCTGAGAATTTAAACATAATGTCTTTGAAATTAATGTTACCTGACAAGGGCTAATGACCTGTCTGGGCTGGTGTGTGAGCCTGTAAATGTGAGCGTGCCAAATTCTCCATAAGCTTCATCCATGTAAGGACTTGACAGAAGCTCCCTTACATAAAGCACTGCAGCCACCTAGCCTTGAAAAGTTGCAAGTGTTCAGCAACACTCAGCCTGCAATTAAGCAAAAGCTTTCTGTGTATTTCTAGGTACTTCAGGAGCCAGTAAAAGATGGACCTGTTGAAGGCAGTAACACAGAACCAAACTGAATTAAGTAACAGAACAACCAGAAATAACTGAAAGGCAGCAATGATCGAAATGTCCTTCTTCCTTGAGGTTGTCTTTACAAAGTTGCAGGACAGCCATTTTTGCTTGGCTCATAATCAGTTCTTGGTAATGCAGTGTTCTCTGGTTGTGCCTAACGCTGATGTGATAAGGAACAAATGGATCAATGCTCTCATTGTAGTTACTGGGAAACCAGTAATCAGGACAGAGGACTCAATTCCCTGCATCCCAATTACACATGAATTTGCTAGAGCATCCCTTTAGACTGACATAAACTATGAACCAACAGCAACAAAAATCGGAGGAAAGCAGTAACAGTGGTAGAAAATGCGGACAGCATCAAATATAAACCTATGCCACTTCTGTATAAGGACACTTGTAATCTTCCTCTGCTATAAATCTCTAGGTTGTTCCCAGGCCATAAATCATACAGCAAACCTCACGTGCCTCCTCTCAAAAACTCTTTAAATTGGGCATTAAAAAGTCCCTCATCTCACTGAGATTACCTGTCCATCTGGATTAATATCGTGAATCCTGTTTGCCTGTATAGTAAAAACAACAGAGAAACCCTAGCAGAGCCTCACAGGAAAAAAAAAAATAATGCCAGACATTCCTGTTTCCCTTTTCTAAAAGGAATTGTCAGTAGACCAATCAGACTTTTGATGCTAGTTGACTAGCAAAATACATCTTTGATTTTCCATTCAGCTACAGAACTAGCAGAGAATGAAAAATTAAGAACACACAATGTAGAATCAGAACCGGGATGAAAAAGTGAAACACAAAATTCGAAGAATGGTCACAAATGTACTTTTTATTTTCCAGGTGCATAGTAGCTTTAGAAATTTCTCTCTTACAGGTGTGAAAGGATTAAAAGGAGATCTAGTGTGGCAGCCCATGGCAGGCGTGTATTGTGCGAGTACAGTATTTTTCTCTGATGTGTTTGATGCAGTCCACTGTTGAGAACACGCTGCTGGTATAGATGAACTCAGCTGGATAGCCTATGCTCTTCTCATGGCCTGCTTTCTGAAAGAGCTACTTGAGAACTGATTTATTTCTTCTGGTATTTTTAAAAGCCCTGGAAAAATTCAGGCTCCTGAATTTTCTGGTTTGAGAAAAATGCATTCCATTTGTAACACTCTGAAAGCTGAATACACACAATTTTATGCTTCGCAGAACTACACATTCTTTTTTTTTTTTTTTATATAATCACACTTGCAGGCACTTTATATGGAAAAATAAAAGAATCCAAGCTCTTCATTAGTGATATTTAATATCATATGGTCACACTGGTAAAATACCAAAATATAATAAATTATTTTTATATCAAATATATATAGAATAAATAGTTCTTCTGCTCGCTGGAGTCTAAGAAAGATTCTTCAGAATAAAAACCTTGTACTCCTGATGCTTCCCCAGACATAAAAAGAACAGCTTTGTGCCAGCCTCAGTGACAGGAAGTGACAGGCAGAACATGACATCACTCTTTATTTTTAACTGACTGCCTTCTGGTGAATTTATTTTGCTGTCGGTAAATACTACAGCAGTGTTAAGTCACATTCAGGCTTTACAGAGACATAAGCCCTTTCCCGAGTTTGATCCCAGAAGCTGGCAGTTCTTAGCTTTTGAAGGAAGGATCTTTATTCCCAAATTGGGCATAGTGGCTTACATCAACGGCCAGACAGTAAGGATATGTCTCAGAGAAACACTAAAGTTCACTTCAAAGGTCTATAACCACCAAAGGCATTCATGTGAATTTTACCATTACAGCGGCTAACCACTTCAAAAGAAAAAACCATGAAATCCTGTACTCAAGAACATACATTTATTCAGCATTTGACTACTGATATTTAATTGAACTTGCCTCAGTCAGAGTCTAGCAGCTCTGAACAGCATCCATGTCCCTAGTACCACTAATGTCACTTTTGTTCTTAGCATCACTACACATGCAGTGCCTAAAATAAGACAGGGTCAGTAAGTTTATTACCAGAGAACATAAATTAAATTCACATTTCTATCCTTCTCCTGCTGCCAGTAAGTCTTTAAAATGAAGAAGGGGAGAAACTGCACCTCTGCGATCCCCCAGGAGGGCAGAGATCCAGCATGGATCATGCTTATGCTACTTTGTCTCTACTGCTTTTGTGTATCTAATTGGCTTTCCTCACCCACCAGCTTGTCTTAGTTTCTCTCTAAGGAAACCACTGTTAATCATTATGCAGTACTCAAGCACACTGTAGCCTTAATAACTACCACATTACCATTGTTATTGTTAAATAATGCTACTACTAGAAGACCAAGTTCTGAAAGACCAAGTTTTGCATGCCCACAAGTAATATGCATGACTAGATGGATGCAAGGGCAGAAAACATGTGTTTTCCTCCTGAAAAAGAGCACAGCAAGAAACTGGGTCCTGTTTCTGTCCTTCACTACCACCCCCACTCCAGATCACTTCATTCATAACTATTGCCATGTATTAAAAGAATCTGCAAACAGCACAAACACAACTTAAAAACATAAAACAATTACTTATTGGCTAATAAGTAATCACAGACCAGCTGGAATTAATGTAATGAGCCACTAATAACCTCCTTTGCTAAGACACCCTCTGAGGCTTGGCTGACCCCAGAATCACACGGAGGACCGTCGGGTTCTATTGTTTTTTGCAACAGGCTGAGTCCTTAGTGCTGCTTTTCACCTTCATCTCTGAGGAATTTCTATCTTTGCATGCTTACGTTCTTTTCTTAAATCTTTAAACTGTCGGTTCCATCTCAGCAATTTTACCTCTATCTACAACTTTACCTTTCTCATCTTGCACAGCTCTAGACTACTTTCCCACAGCTCTTTCCCAAAGTTTAACCATTTCTGTGCAAGTCAAAGACGGTTATTTGGTTGGGCTGGAAGAGGGGGGCTGCACCCTCGTAACACTGCATAGCCCACACCCACAGATCCTGAACAGTACTGGGGTATTGTCCAGATTTCCACGTGGAGAGTGTCTTCTAGGTGGTACCTGCTTACAAAATTCACTGTCACTTAACAAACCGGTGAGGTGCCCGTAAGGAAACGCTGTACGCGTTAGGGACAGTAAGAGGCACAACGCCCCCAGCTTTCACGTTACCCTTACTCCATTACAAACTTAGATTTAAGAAGCGGATGAGGTGCGTTACACGTACGCACACACGTATACCCCGGCCACCACCCCAACCGCGGCTCTGCGCGGCCCCGCCTTCACTCCGCTCCCGCACCAACTCCTCCCGAGCACAACCCAGCGGATAAACCAGGCGGCGACAGCTGCGACATGACGTAACGGCCAGCTCCCACCGGTGTGGGGACGGTCCCCCCGGCTCCGGTAACCCGCGCGGGTAGAAGGGCCACGGCAAGAGCGAACAGAGCAGAACACACGGGCACTTCCAGCGGTCTGGCCGCCTCCGCTACCCGTCAGCAGGGCGCAGGCGCAGCCTCTTTCCCCGCCGCTAGGCGCTGCGCATGTGCTGCTGTCCCGCGCAGGCGCGGCTCGGGAGCTGCCGGCGGCGGCGATGGGCGGACGCCTGGCCCGCGTGTTTCGCACTTTCAACGTGGAGAGCCGGGCCCGCCGCGAGATCAGCAGGGAGAAGCCCAGGCCCGCGCCGCGGCACCCCAGCTCCCGGCGGGACGAGCTGCCCGGTGCGTCCCGGCCTCGGAGGCTGCCGGCGGGGCGGGGGGGGTGGCACCAGTGTCTGTGGTCCCAGCGCGGGGCCGCAGCACGGAAGAACCAGAGCGGGTGCTGGGGCGCCGGCGAGCCGCGGGGCCGTAGCGCGTCCCGGTGCGGCGCGGGGCCGGTGACATTGAGCGCGGGGCGGCTGGGCGCGCGGGGCACGCTGGGAGCCGCAGCCGGCGGCGTTGGTTGCTGGGGCGGTTGCCGGGGGCGGGCTCCGGGGCCCGGTGTGCTCCGTGGAGGGCGCCCCTCAGCGCGGTGAGGTGCGGCTCTCGGCGCCGGCCCTGAGGGAGCCCCTAGCGTCGCGGGAGCGGTTAACCTGGCAGCGCTAACCCAGTGAAACGTGTGACTCAGACCTGCCTTCTCTCTTCTACCTTCCGTCCCCTCCCTTTAGACCACCCCGGGATAAAAGAAGAAATTTACCGGAAGGACGATAGGCTCCTCGCCTTGTTGAGAGATGTTTATGTCCAGTCCAGAGATTCACCTGTGCGGGTGAGCATGTCTCTCTGCAGGAGGCATCCTAGCATCAGCTTTGTGGTTTTCAAACTCGGCAGCAATTCCGTAGAGAGGGAAATGCTCTGTTAGTGCTGAAAAGCTACCTTTTTTTTATAGGTATAGTCATAGAATGGTTAGGGATGGAAGGGACATTAAAGATCATCCAGTTCCAACTCCTGCCATGGGCAGGGACACCTCACACTAGCTCAGGATGCTCGAAGATAAAAGTGATGTTTTCATTACTCTTTCATAGATCAGTAGCAGTGACTGTATTTGACCCTGGGTCTTGAACATGTGACACATCGCGACTGTACAAGTTTTTAAATGCTACACAGTCTTCCTTTTAACATGCTGTTGATCTTACTTTGTTTCTCACCTGAATTACACTTCTGCTTCCCCTAAGGCAGCAGGGTGGTTGGCCAACCTTTTGCAAAGGCACAGGAGTTTGCGAGACGTAGAGTTTTTAGAAGAGATTGGAACTACTGTGGAAGCATGGATGGGGTAGAGGACAAAGACATTGACATTTTAGTGGAGTCTTTAACTGCTGATGTTAATGTCATGCTGTGCAGAGACTTTTCCTTATGTAGCTGAGGAAGTGCCATAGCTAGGGTTTTTTTTCTGCATAGCCTTCTGGATTGTTTGGTGATCAGTTTCCTCATTGCCAAAAGGTGCAGTCTTTGACTTGGAAGGCAAAGCATACCCCTTCCAGCATAATGCAGACTGGGGTTCAGTCTCCCCTTTTCCAGCACGTTACCTTACGTCTTGTGCATTTTCCCTGTTGCATTACTGGACTGCTTTACTCTAGTTGCTTTATTCAGTAACAAGAGTTCTATAATCATCCAGCAGTAATATTCCTAAGTCTAATTAGCCACTTTCATAGCACCTTGTATTCAAGACTAAAAGTATTCAAAAATGCAAAGAGATTTCTGCAGTGTCTCCCTGAAGTTTCCAGGTGATCTCTGTCCTTAATGTTCATAATAGCGTTAAGGACTCTAGTCTTGAAGTACTAAAGGTCTGATTTCAGTTTCTTTCAATATTCATTTGTAAGCCTGTCAAGAGAGAGAAAAAGCCAAAAGGGGAATAATCTTAGTGCTTCTTTCCATGTCTACTCTGAGGTTGCTGCTGTGTTAAGCCTTGCTCTTGTGGTGTGTCTGCTTGCAGTTGTTAGGAAGAGTGTGATTAATGTGTTGGCATGGAGGCCGGTGGACAAAACTTCATTTAAAAACTTTCTGCCTTTCCGTATGTTATTCTGAATACTCTGTGCATCATGTATTTGTGTATACATACATATGTGTATATTTGATGCTAGGTCTGTCTGCAGAAAGTGGAAGAGCACCAACTCTTTAAGTGGCAGATACCCAGGGACAGACACTTGAAAGATTGTTCATTATCTGGGGACGGTTTGAGCACAAAGTAAAAGAAAAAAATGGAGAACTGGCAGCATCATCAGACATCCTATGTAGTTTAGAAATGGGCATGTGATTATAGATGCTGTAGCATTCACATGAGTTTTTTTCAGCTTGTGAGTTAATACAGGGTGTCTGTGGGCTGATCAGTGGCTGTGGACTCATCATTTTAAAAGAACTTTTTCTTAACTTTAAGAAAGGCTTTCATTCTCTCTTTTTTCCAGTGTAATTTGCTGGTTAATTAATAAAAGACAATATGAGAAAGGCAGATCTGGTTTGGAAATGACTTGAGAGGAAAGAATTCCCATGTCTGAGTACTGTAGTAGTCATGGGAACTAAACTCCGTATGATGCTGCAGAATCTTCTTTTTGTCCAGTAAAGCTTGTTCTCTATACAGAGTAAAAGAAGAGATATCTTTTAGTTGCAAAACCTAAAATCTGAAAAAGAAAGGAAGGGGAGAGGAAACTGTATGAAAAAGATTTTCGGTGGTATCAGAAGGATACCAATTTGTAGTGTGATTTATTTTCCTCTTGCCATGAATCGGTACCAAATATTAGGTTATCTGCATTTACGTTTGGCTACCAAAAGCTATGGTTTGACTTGTATGAAGGGCTGCTAAGTCTGTACAACACTTAGAGTTCAGTAGATGGTAGCTTTTCAGAAGTTGGGTGGGAGTTGACATCATATGTAGAATGGCTGTGGAAGAACTGACAATTTCTGTGATGTCAAGAAGCAAGGCTGGCCAAGCATTATTTCTGGGTTTTAATGCTATGAAAATATGGAAAGCTAACGGGAAATGCTGTATTTAGGAAAATGGCTTGGCTGCTACAATAAGCATAGCAAACAGAACTGCTGTTAAGCTCTTCTTGTTTTCCTTCCCACAATTAGGTAAAAGATGGAGGTGGTGAACATCTTCCACATAAACAGGAGGAAAAGAGACTTACAAAACTAGGCCACTTGGGAGATGCAGATATTAAGAAAGTTTCCAAAGGCAAAATTTCCACTGTGGAGGCTCTGACACTTCTTAATAATCATAAACTTAATCCTCAAATATGGACTGCAGAGAAAATAGCAGTGGAATACAGTCTGGAACTGAAGGATGTCAACTCTCTTCTGGAATTCTTCATTCCTTTCACTGTGAAGGAATTTCCTAAAGAAACCAAAAAAGTTATAACGTCAACATAAAAATAATTACCAAAACCTTGTGTGATCTCACTCGTGTCTTAATTTTATTCTTGAGTATATTCAGTGTTTGGAAAGAGTTGGTAATGTGTCATCCAACAAGGCTGCTTCCTTATATACCAGTGAAGATGCATTCAAGCAATTCCATTCTATATTGGATGGCTTCATTTAAATGCAGCAATTATAGGATACAATTTTTAAACCTTAATATAACTAATAAGTAAGTTGTATGAGAGCATGTCACACTGATTATCCCATTTGTATGTACAAGTTCAGTTAAAGTACACAAGTTCACTGAGAACTTTACCTTAACATCACATTTCTTAGCAGAGACTTCCTGGCCTTCAGCTAAATCAGTGCTCTGAGTGTACTAGCTGTGTCGTTTCATGTTGGTGTTCTTTCAAGGACTTGCTGTCAAGGTCTGTGTATACACAGACAGCTGAATTTCTTTTGTATAAGAATGGAATAGTATTTATACTTTGCAAAGAAGGCTAACCACAAGATAATTTTGGAAATTAAGCTGTGTCAAAGTTAAAAAGAAGATGACCGTTTCTGGTGCTGGGACAGTAATGGCTGATGTGTAGCTCCTTTTCCCCTCTGTTCTGATTTAGCTTAAATAGCTACACCTTCCCAGGTACTTTCTGTTAGTCAATGAATTTGTAAAGAGCGATGATCTTCTAGCATCTTGCAGCAGTCCCTGGCACCTGTTGTGTGAGAAATAATTCTCATAATTAATAGGTAACTATGAAATGCAACTGGATCTACTAATTGGACCAACTAGTTGGTCTTGCGTAATTGTCTGCCTGTCCTGTTACAATAGCCCTTTTTGCCTGTGGAGGTCCTGCCTGACTTACCCAATTGTGGGTTAGATCAGGTCATGCTCACACACAGCAAGTTACTCACATGCTACCAGATTGAAGATGGACAGTATCCTTTCCACGTTAGTAAAGGACAATGCAAAGTGTGAGGTGGTAACAGGTTGTTACCTCATTGAGGAGGGGAGATAATCAGAATCGATATTCAAAAATTCATTATGGTTGCTTTCATGCATATATTCAGCGAGCACTAACATTCCTAGTGCCATCACCAAAGAAGTGTTAAGAGCGCAGGAGTTAGTAGCAGGTATAGAATGTAACTTCCTGTTGGAAGAATTTTTCTGCCAGGTCTTAGATTTCAGAGTCTGGTAAGTATCTTCCCAAGATGATCAGCTTGCTATTTCACAGCAAGATTCCACTTCTCTCTGAGATGGGCAAGGTATTTATGCTACAGTTTGCTATAGTGTATACAAGGTTTTGCTTGATTCATTCTGAAGTTCATAACGGTGTACCTTGGAGCATGACACCTATGAGTGCATTGTATGAAAATGTGAAATTGTTAGTCTTTGGATGTATGGATTGGGGATAAGCCTGTCATTCTTCCTGTAATGTAATGGGGACAGAGCTGTGCTCTTAAACTAATGCATCTGAGTTAACATGCCACAATAAGATTTTTTTGCTTTTCACAAAATATTCTGCTTTATAGAGTGCTGTATCAGAAATACCTTATTGTTTGAGTACTGTGCATCCTAATGTGATATTTAAGGTAATATTCAGAAAACAGCTGTGGAATGCATTTGGTACAGATTGTGTTGTTATTAATGGAAATTGATTTCCTTCTTTAAAAATGAATCTTTAATTACGTATTGGAGTTGATTAAAAACTCACTACAATCGGCACCAGACAACAGCTTGCCCATGCCCCTTGACTAAAGTGGTATGTATTTGGGCTTATTTTGTGTGCCTTTGTGACTTGTAATGTGGCTGTGCCATTTCAGTAGCCTGTTTCACACAGCCCCTAGAGGCATTATCACAGAATCACAGAATCCTAAGGGTTTGAAAGGACCTCAAAAGATCATCTAGTCCAACCCTCCTGCAGAGCAGGGTAACCTAGAGTACATCACACAGGAACTTGTCCAGGCGGGCCTTGAATATCTCCAACGTAGGAGACTCCACAACCCCCCTGGGCAACCCGTTCCAGTGCTTACTACTGCTTTGTTTACAGCCTTTAGCAGCCGTGTGCTTTGGAGCATTTGGTGCTTATCATGTTCAGTGCTGCAGTCATCTTCAGGACAAAATCCTGTCTGTGAGTGAGATAACTACAAATCTATCTACAGTTCCTCTGGAGTCAGGATCTCATCCTCAGAATGTATTGGCGATGGTGGAGAAGCAGGCAGGTCCCACAGCACAGAGGTGGGCCAGGGATCCATCTCCCTAGAAGCAGGTGAACTCAGTGGCCCAGAAGGCTCCATTGGAGCAGGGAGTACTCCAGCACAGCACATTTACTTCGGGAAAATGAGATGCGATGCAGTTTGCTGTTGGCATGCAGATTCTGCCTATCACCTGCCTCACCTGCTGTGCAGCATCAAACCTCCATTATGAAGGCATTGCTAATGGTATATGATCATGTAAAATCTGAACCTTTATCCAAATTATCCATAGTCCAAACGTTTAGCTTTCTGTCTCTGCAGGTATTTTACTTGTCCAAAGCTCACAGAAAGATCCAGAAGCATGGATCTTTGCTCTGGTGGGAAAGCCTGTCCCTGATCAAGCACTCTCAACACCACCGTCTTGTCCTGTGTAGGTGACTGGACACAGCCAGCCGCAAGGTCCTTGTCAGGTGTGTGCATTAGCTGTGTTCAAGTAAGTATGTGTTTGAAGATAACGGCTGTCTTTAGGGTTGATGTCTGCAAGAAAGCTATTCTCACTTTTGAGTCTTTTCTAGAACTGCTTATTTCCTTTCTTCCAGTTTCAGGGGACTCTATTCATCAGTTGTCTTGCTTGAGTACCAGGTTTCGATGCAGTTTCTAATCTGAAGAATAATGGTGTTTTCTTTACGCTTCTAATTTGATTTTGTCTATGTCCTTTCTGTCTGTTCCTTTCCTGTAGCTGTTTGGCTGTCAGCTTAAGGAAAAGGTACTCTTCAAGCAACTGTTTTGAAGAGATAATTATGGGGAATCTGGGGGAACCTACAATTCAGTTTTCTGGTACTCATATGTGGGGAATTTTTCATGCCTCATTGCCATGCATTTGGTGCACCAAATTGAGCTCATATGTTTTTGGCTGCCATATAGAATAAGAACATTTCATAGGGAACAACCTGCCTCTCTCAAACTGCTTTCTTCTTGCCAGATTAATGTAAAACATATATCAAGTGTAAGCTTTGTAAGCCTGTGAGACAGTTGTTTCATTTCTGGTGTAAATGACACATTGTTAACGAATGTCTTTATGTGTGGCATTATTACTCCAGTTTTCCAAATGTCACTGAATAAAGCCAGGGCTACGTTGGGCGCTGAGGCTGAGCCTCAACGGGAAATGAGGGTTACATTCCTGGTGAGACATCAAATTTAATTTCTTCTGGCAGGTATATTGGAATTCCTGGCTTGAATTTTTTCCAAAAAATGTCTCTGGGGGAATCCTGTATCTCACCCACATTTTCTAGGACACAGTCCCGTTCCTCTAGCCTTGTTCTGTTGTTAAGTCTATACCGAGCCTTCTCCAGCCAGACTTCCCTGGTATGAAAACTTTATGCAGCTGCACTTTGCTTTTTACTAGCTCACATGGAAATGTTGGTTGTATTCTGCCCTTTCAGTGTCAACAACCTCTTTCATTTCTCCAGAGCTGTCTTGCCTTCTAGGAGCAGCACATCTGCTGAGGTGAAGATGAGAGGACTGAGCACATGTTTTGCTCTACAGAATTTGTGAATAGGATGTAGCTTTTCATACATCTTCAAAAGCTGCTCTTCTGGGATGTGTGAAACTAATCTTGTGCTGTGTCACCGTGCATTAATCATAGCTAGGTTCTTTCAGTCTGATGCCGAGACAGCAAGATTTGAGCTATGAGGCAGGAAAGAGTTTTAACTCTGCTTTCTGTGCAGGTTAGTCAGAGGGAACTTCTGTATGAAAAGTGAACTTTCTGTAGCCTTCCAGCACAGGGAACTTGTCTTTTAAGCTGTCTCTTTTTACTCAAGGAGAAAAAGTGTTTGTATGTAAGAGATGTGTACTAAACTTACAAAGTGGAGCATTTTATTTCAGTATTGAAAAATCAAGTCAATCTTCAAGTAGTCATAAAACAGGCCCAAAATGCAGAAGTTTTAAAAGGCATCTCTCTCACTTTGTTTCATACAAGCATTGTGCTTTCATGTTTGAGATTGCATGACGCTTCATGGCTCTGTTCTGCAGCCCGTTTCTAAAGAGGAGTTTTCTGGTTCTCAACCAGATGGTGCCAGTGTTGAACTGACAGCAGGAGAGGCCTGAGCAGTGCAGGTGAGCTTCAGGTGCATTTTGGCATTTCAGAATGCAGCAGTTGAAGGCCAACTGACGTGCTATTAGCAATCAAAACACTGTGTCAGTCAGTGCCTGTTGTTACCCAGTCTGCTTCTGGCATTCGACATGTAATGAATTCCATAACTTTTCACAGGTTAGGTACTGCTGTGTTGTTATCAGAACTAATTGTTTCCTGCTGAAAATAAACCCCCAAAAACATGGATTAATTTCACTTAATTTCACTTAGAAACTTAACACTGGCTTTCTTGGTCTGAAACAGAGACTTAGATTTACATAAGGCAACAGCAGCACATCTCCTGTAGCATGCTGGAGGCAGTGTGCTAAGGTAGCTCCTGCGGCTCTGTGGGGTTTTGATGTGTCTGCTGCCAGAAGGAGAATCTAAAAACTAAACCCACCAAGGTGGTGGTTCTGTGACTGTTGAGCAAACTCCCCTTTGGGTATGGGTTACTTCAACTGCTGAAGCTTTGGGTTTAGGTGAGATGGGAGAAGTGCTGCTGTATTATCCAGGAAAGAAGTGACTGGGGGCATGACAGACCCTATAATCATCTCCTATCAGGATTCCTTGCGCAGGAACGGAAGACACATGGAGCCTTGTAGGACCGAGGCTCTCAGGCCACTACTTTTTGGAAAGCTGAGGAAGGTGATGGTGTGGTGGAGGAATTCCTACCTTTGAAATAGTTGCCCACCGGCAGCCATACCTGTGAGCTGGGTTCACCCAGGGAATAAGGGATCCCACTGCTGATGAGTGGCAAACTGTGCTGGTAAAAGTGAGATTTGCTTCTGTCAGGGGTTGCTGTAACTGGAAGCCTGAATGTCAAGTCGCAGCTGGAAGCTCTGCCTATGAGAGAGATCTGGGCTCTGAATAAAGGACAACAGTGCTGGCAACTTGGGTGCAGCTGGGACTGCAGAGATGGTTATAACTGCCTGTGTTGGCGAAGGGAAAAAGAGATCAAGGTGGAGTCTTCAGAGCATTTTCTCTGAGCCAAAGCATGCCCTGTTATTAACTGCACAGGGAAAACTACTCCCAGGAAAATCGACACGACACAGTTTGTGACTCAAGCAGTTTTGACTATCCAGGCCATATGTTGGGTATGAAGTGAGACCAGAGTGCTGTAGCTTGGATAGCCAGAACAGTGTTGAGCTGCTGTATGGACAGTTCTGTTGAGAGTTGTATGTATGTTGCATGCATATCACACTTGAATGCCTCCTGCCCCGGTCTCTGGTGTTTGTAGCACAGCTCTGTAGCCTTAAGGATGCCAACAGGCTTGACAATTAGGTGTCTCCTCTTAAAGTGAAGATATGGATTTGCATCCCCCTTAAGCTGAAGCAGAAACTGCATTTTAGGTAAGAGTCCAGCTTAGCTGTCTCTGTGCCACTCAAACCTGTGGATCTTATTTCGGTGGTGTAATTCCTTCCAGCATGAATTTCCTTTGTGAGCCTCAAGTGTAGCAGAACTGGAGTCCCTCTTGGTGGAGCTGAGGTGGTGAAGTGGTAGGGGCTGTAGCACACTGGGTGGTGAAGGGTCTCAGTGCTGCTCAGGGAGGGAAGTCTTGCTTGTCCTTCCAACCCTGTCCCCAGTTCTACAGCCCACCTCCTCTCCTTTTGCTAGCTCAGGCAATTGGTAGACCACTTTATGAAGCACTTTAATTCACTAACACAGAAAACAAATCAAAAGAACTATATTTAAAACGAGAAGGAGAAGCAGTATATTGTTGTCAGCATCAGTGGCT